GTTACGATTGCTTTATCAACGCACAAATCACAAGTCCAAGAGAATAACTGATACAATTTAAGTATTTTCATAAAGGAGTAAGGTACACAAGATATTCTTATTTATTGTAATAAATATCGACCAAAGGGAAGGTATTCATTTGCGTTATATGTAATATATATATATTATACTGCGTAATATCAGTATTCCGAATATGAGATCTGTTTTATAATACCAGTACATATAATGTGTGTGTGTGTGTATATATAAATATATCAGGTTAGATATGTCGGTGTGTTTATAAATATAATTGATAAGATTTCTCAGGATGACACAAATAGAAACGCATGTTAGGGACTCTGCTCTTGCATGTCGACTGCTCCGCATTCATGGACTAGTTAAACACCATTAAAAATGATCAGACGTCATCAACATCCAAAAGGAAAGTGACGTACTCTGTTATACATTATACTACGTGCCCATTATGGGGATCGAGTCGGGTCGGGTTGCTAGACATATTGAGGGTGCAAAGCGGCTACCGTAGCACAAACGATCACGCCCGACTCGTTGCATAAAAAACAAATGCGTTTGTTTTCAGGCGATGAGTCGGGTGATCGACCCAACCCGACCTGACCCAACCCGCAATGGGCACTCAGTATTATGCACTTGAGGTAACAGATAATGAAAAGTTGGAATGCAGTATTATTCACAGTGAACTCCGTCAATCAGATTTATTTGATTCATTGGGGGGCTAATTTTCTTTCATTAGAGGTGCAGAAGCTACCATTTTGGCACAAGCCAACCAATTTGACCCACGATCTCTTAAAACAAACGTGTTTGATTTTGAAGGTCAGGGTTGGATTTAGTTGAATTTAGTAGTACCGGAGAGTATTTAATTATATTTTAGTGTCTCTGGTAGTACTATAGCGCCAAAATGGCAACTTTTGCCCCTCTTCGAAGGAAAACCTGGTTGACCTTAACTCCATCAAAACAATCTGATTAGCAGTGCGAACTAGATATATGACATAGCCAGCGGCAACTGCAAAAACTTTAAGATGCGGAGAAGAGGCAACAGTAGAAACAACAGCTGCTGCCATCATCTCGTTGAATCAACTGTCACAACCATTTCTTAATAAACAGTTAACAACCCCCCCCCAACAAAAACAAACAAATAAAAAAACAAAACCCTCCCACAAAAACTTCTAGGAGACTAAAGGCTTTTCAAAAAGTAAACTTGTTTTTTTTTTTTTGGTGTGAATCAAAAGCATTCACAATTAATGTTCCACAACCACTGACCTGCTTGATAAGTTATACATGTATAATCTGTGGCTTAAAGTTCTGGCACAACAATCATCAGCACGTTATAAGAGACGATGCAGAATGTACAATATGTTTTTGATTGTCAAGCGTACGGAAAAGTAAGGAATTTAACACTTTGCCATCATATTTTGTGGAAAATCCAAAGAAGGTGGGTGGTAAACATCCCCAACCGGTGAGATAAGGCAGCAAGTGTGAAGTAAACATTAAACAACAGCATGCAGTGGAGAGCGCTTAAACCAAAACATGCTGGACTGCCAGAATTTCTTTTGATTAGCTGGGGTTTTTGGTTAGGATAAGATGCTAAAAAGTTGTTTTTTTAAAATGGTGTTTTATTTTCTTTCAGTTTACCACTGTTTCCAGATTATCCATGTTCAGTTTAAGCGGATTCTACAGTAAGTTTAATATCACTACATCTAAATATCAATTCCAGTGTACTAGCGAAAGACGTATGTCTTCAAAAATCCCAAAAAACATCACAAAAATAAAAAGCATCGAAGGGGCTTTCAGGAATTTTTGCTTCACTTCTTTAATAGCACAAGGAGCACCAAGTAACAGCCTGGACCTAAATGATGCATTAACCGATTCAGCCCGCAGTGCCGCTCACAGTGGCTGACTACCTCCTGTGTTTTGACATAGACTCGCTCAGAGCAGCTCTTAATTGGTCGCTTTTAAGAACAGCAGGGCTATTCGGATAAAAGCTGTTTTGAGAAAATCGAAAGTTTTTGGATCCTTATTCAGTCTCTTTAAAAGACAAGAAGAGTTTTCTCTATAAACAAACAAATATATACACCAAGGCAACCAAACTTTTCCTATAGTTAGGGCAATGCCCACTTTTCGTGTAGGTCAGGATTTCTGGAAACCCTTGAAATCTGGGTTAGCCCGCTTGTCCTTAAAAGCGACCAGTTGATCTCTTTTCTTTAAATCAGTTTCCTCTCGTGTTTTTTTTCCAGACTGGTTACATTTCAACCTTTTTTTCTAGTTTCATTGAATAGTATTTTGTATTCTGAACATTTCTATATTCCACACATAGGGTTTTATCAAATTTAGATATTTCTTTATCAATTTTTTAGACCACCCGTGAGGTCACGAAGCAGTCATAAATTATTTGCATCCGGAGTCAAAATTAACTGCGGGCTGAATCAGTTAAGGAAATATCAGGAAAACAATATCTGCAAAATAATATCACTACATCTGAGTACACAACTGGTATTACTGTTTCACATACTTATGGAATTCTTGAGAGGCCATATATAAAGAAAACACATATGGGTATTATAGTGGAGTCCTCTTAAAGCTGAAATCTGTATGTGGGACTGCATAGTTCTTTGGCTTTGCTGTGATTTCAGTTTAGCGAGATTACTCAAATTAAATAACAAAGAAAAAATGTCAGGGACTATATTTTTTTTGTTGGTTTCCTACTGTTTCCATATTAACCGTGTTCCGTTGAAGCTGACTTATTTATGTAGGCCTATATAATTGCCTCATATTAACCGTGTTCCGTTGAAGCTGACTTATTTATGTAGGCCTATATAATTGCCTCATATTAACCGTGTTCCGTTGAAGCTGACTTATTTATGTAGGCCTGAATAATTGCCTCACATTTGATATTTGTACCACAAAATATTTGGCAAATCCGAAATCAATAAGATCTTGCTCCTTGGAAACAGCATTAAAAGACATAACTTATAAGACACTACAAGCTTTCAAAAGGGATGTGGTATGCTCTGATAGGCTTTCAGGATCAGAAATACTGAGCAGGTGGAATGTAACAAAGCAGCAGCAACAAAAAGAAGAAGATGAATATTAACCCTATCCGTATGCCCTGGGGTCATTTTGTACCCCCGGAGTTGTATTCTTCACATTTTAGAATACTTCCAGTACGAAGATCTTTTTGAAACTTTCAGTATTTCTCAAAAAAAAATTTTGACATGCTATGCAAAGCGTATGGATTGGATTAATGAGTAAATCCCCTCTTTGACAGTGGTGACACAGAGTTCCCTATGTCGTATGGATACGATAGTAAAAGACAACGTACGGATAAGGTTAAAAGAGTTCACTGTTCACTAGATTATCATCCTATTTAATATTTATAATTTTCTGGTAAATTCATTACTAGTGTTAGCCTCATCTGTTTTTCAGTGTACTACTTTTTAAATTAACCAGTAACTAGTCAGTGGTGAGTGACTATCAAGTCAGCGATGGGCGACTATAGACAGTTTAAACGACAAAAGATTAGTGACTAAAAAATTTGTCAATTGACCAGGGTAGGGAGTGTAGGCAAGGGGGGGGGGAGGGGGGTTCTCCTAACTAAGCACATTTTTATGAACTGCAGATTTCAGCCCAATCTGTCAAATGACAGCACTCCTTACTTTAGTACAGTGCTCAAGTGAAAAACATTCTGTATGGGATCAAACTATCGGAGACCTTCTTTTAAAAAATGCCATAAAGAAATTATGTAGAGGACAGAGAGAAAAGGCAAGAGCTGGATGTCAGATGCAGTGGTGCCCCCACGGTTGCCCCAACCACGGGATAGAAAAAGAAAAGAAGAAAAAAAAGAAGAAATTAAGCAAGGGCAACTGTCAAGCAGAACTTGCAAGTGGAAGAGAAGTCATATTGCGTTCACATAGGCTTTTGTGGGATGTGCACAAAACTACTCGCTGCTCATCATAAAATCACCTTTCATGGAAAACATAACTTTTTTCTCCTTAATTTATGGCACATATAAAACAGAAGAAAAAAAATACAGGTACCACAATCACTCCACTAACAATGAAAATAGAAAGAACGATAAGATAAAAACACAAAAAAAAGGAAAAAAAGTAGATGCACAACCAAAGTGCAATCCAGCACGCACATAGTGAACAATTAATTTTCCGATCCAAAATTTTTTCTTAGAAATATATTTCTTTGAACTTGAAATAAGTACAAGCCAAAATTTGTACATAACAAAAAGATTTCCACATCCCACAGATTTTGTTGTGTGCTGGAAGACTATATAAGTGACCAATGTGTGAGGCATGGGGGGAAATCAGGCGCTCGTCAAAATAATGAAATCAAACAAATCGCCATTTTTTTCTGCTGATGGGTAATTTTTTTCTAATTTTCTTTTTTTGACTCAACACCTTTGATGTTCATTAAAAAACACATTTTGGTCCGAATTTTTGCCGAAAAACATTGATTGAAGGAACAAAAAATGTAAATTTTCAGTTTCCAAGGACTCCCAGGCTATGGAAGTTACCAAACTTTGGCGGCCATTTTCTCGCTAATTTTACCTCTGAACCCAGGCGACCTTGACCTCCTTCAATCGCAAATATTTCGACTTCTATTCAACATAGATGAATATTGTTTCACCAAAAGGAAGGCAAATAAACAGGCTTTAAGATGATACCAATAACTCCATATTGCCCAAAAATTGACAAGAGCCTGATTCCACCACGTCCTGACACATATAGATTTAATGGTAAGTGTACATTCCAGAGGCAACTTCAAGGTCAACGCCTCAGCCACTGAAGTATCCCTGGGCGGTATTTTTCCATCCAGTCTATGTTGTTGCGAATACTCTCCACAGCCATCTTGCGATATCGTTTGCTGGCGCCCTCTTCTGGGAAATCGCGGAACAATGCCTCTACCTGGAGAAAAGGGGTCAGACCAGATTGGGAAATTACACGAGCAGATAAAAATGTGTATGAGAAAATTGACTGGTGTTGAGAAAGGCTATAACACTGATGATAAAGACAAAATAAAAACCACTGAGTACAAAATGTCTCAGACCCTTGATGATGGAAGAAACGAAGGATATTATATTATTATATAAACATAGATTTATAGATAGATAGACAAATAGAAAAAAAACAACCCAAAAAAGCACCAAAAAACTCCCCCAAACCCCAAATTTTTAATAATTGCAGAAAATTTGAGGTACATTTGATTATGCTTTTATAATAAGTGAAGCTGGCATTGAAAAAAGTAAAACGGGAGGAGGGGGGGCTCCCATCTTTTTCTTACTTTGATGCTGTTTGAAGAGAGCAATAATACACAGAATGAGATAGAAAGTTAAGTTAACCTTATCCGTACGTCATGTTTTACTATCGTATCCATACAACATGGGGAACTCTGTGCTACCCCTTACCAAAGAGGAAATTTACTCATTAATCTAATCTGTACCCTTTGCATAGCAGTCTGTCAAAATGATTTTCTGAGAAGTACTACCGAAAGTTTCAAAGAGATTTTCGTACTAGAAGTATTCTAAAATGTGAAGAATACAAACCCGGGGGTACAAAATGACCTCAGGACCTACGGATAGGGTTAATAAAGGCACAAACCTCTCTCAACTTGAACTCCGTGTTATAGTATCTGACCATGTAGTAGATCATGCGTCCAAAGTAGCGGTCATTGACGGTGAACCTGGACAAAGGAAACAACGGTGATGAGAACAACAGTCTGTGAAGTATAGTTGTTGGGCATGCAATTGCTGAGTGGGGAGAGTGGGTGGTTGGCAGGTGCTCGGGTGTGGTTTGCTTCTTCTTTCCAATGAAACATCTATCGTCCTTATCTCCCCTTCTTCTTTTTTATGTATGTTACTCTCTTGTGACACCTCTAATCTTCTGGCGCTCATATGACCTTATGCAGTTGCGAGCGCCGTAAAACTTCTACTAAAACTAAACTGAGTGGGGAGAATTTTTATTAAATATCTGGGCCTTTCTGCTGGGATGTTGTATCCCTCTAAGCTTGGGGCGGCCCGGAAGAGGCAGGGTCAGAAGTCCACCTCCTAAATGACCTAAATTGCGTTAAACGGGGTTATGAAAGCCATGAAAGAAGCCACTGGTCAGTCCTACTTTTTTTCTACACCTCTGATGTTTCTGTCTGTGTTTCTCACTTTTCCCCATTACTAAATGACTGTAATTACAGACCTGTCACTCTATGAAATCTAAAAATCAGGGTCTCCGGGGAAAAAAATCAGGATCAACGACAAATCAGTTCAGGGTGATTGCCAAGCTGACTTCAAAATCTTACAGGGGTGCCCATAAATAAGTGGAAAAAAAAGATCAACTCATCCGAAGTTCAACTTAACCATTGGGCCCTATAAAGAAGAAGAAGTGTTGGGACCTGAGAAAAAGACCAACTTACCTGAATATCAACTCAAGCGAGTTCAACACAAGCGGAGTCAACTGTACAATGACGCAAAGACGACCAGTAGCCTACCTGTCGATGAAGTTCTGATAGTTGGCTCGTGCCCAGTCCCAGACAATGCTGCGAGCTGCCGTGTTGCCTCCTACGGTGTTGATGAGAAGGAAGAAGTCCTGGGTCCTGATTCCTTCTCCGCGGTACGCCCTGTCTAGAAGTCTGCGCCAAATACACGAAGGTGGACACAGAGTGGCATGGTGAAAACAGTATAATATACAAGGGGTGACACGTTATTAAAATAGAGCAACACACAAGGGGTGACACATTATTAAAATAGAGCAACACACTAGGGTTGACACATTATTAAAATAGAGCAATACACTAGGGGGTGACACATTATTAAAATAGAGCAATACACTAGGGGTGACACATTATTAAAATAGAGCAACACACAAGGGGTGACACGTTATTAAAATAGAGCAATACACAAGGGGTGACACATTATTAAAATAGAGCAATACACAAGGGGTGACACATTATTAAAATAGAGCAATACACTAGGGATGACACATTATTAAAATAGAGCAAAACACAAGGGGTGACAAATTATTAAAATAGAGCAACACAAAAGGGTTGACACGTTATTAAAATAGAGCAATACACAATATATAGAAGGGCAGTGACACGGTATGTCGTGATGCAAATAAAGTAATATTCTTATAATCTCAATCAAGGGGCTTTCACAAGAGAACCTAAACAGTGTTTTTTATAGAAAAGTCTGCAGAAAATACAAAGAGGTAGGATATTATGACATGCTAAAAATGTAGCAATATTTGTATCTCAACTGACTCATATGACCTTATGAAGTTGCGAGCGCCGTAAAATCTAAAGCTATCTCAACTGAAAGATTTCCATTAAAACAACAAACAGTTTAAAGTCACACACACAAAAAAAATCATGTTTAAAAAAAATCAAGATGAGGTTAAAGGAACATAGAACAAACATTATATAGAAAATAAGCATAAGAACCATGTGCCTCTTTGTCTTTCTGATATGGTTCAGGGAACAAATAATAATCATTACATTATATTAAAGAAATTATATATCCCCCACCAGGGTAGTGACGTTGGTAGCCTAGCGGTAAGGCTCTTGGACTCGCAACTGTAAGGTCGTGGGTTCGAATTCCGCCAAGGGCCCGACGTTGTGTCCTTGGGAAAGGCACTTTACACAAATTTTCCACACTTCGCCCAGGTGGGAATGGGTACCCGGCTATAGACAGCGAAAGATCTTGTCAGTTTGTTAGTGTTTGAGCGCTTAATCAGATGCTCGCACTGTATGCTTCCCTGGAAGCTGAGAATGTTTCGGAGTGTTCTATGGTCTGCTGGGGTAATAATATAGTGTAAAGCGCATAGAGCCTGCTGTTGAGCGGGGATATGTGCTATACAAATGCTATCTATTATTATTATTATTATTATTATTAGTGCTACTGACTGAAGTTGTCTTTAGGTCATTCCCAAAGGGGGGAGATTATTATGCTCTTATGCACAGTAACATTGTAAATGGGCTGATTCTCAATGTCATGCTCATACTGTGCCGGAACAACATAGGGGGAACTGCTATTTTTTCTTTCCTCATCTTTACTATCATCATTTTCCTGTACTTTTTTTGTATGTTTGTCACTCTCTTGTGAACTGCTATTTCCGGGGTGCCTTGATAGTCGAAGCAGACTTTGTGCTTTTGAGGCTAGAGAGGTGAGCAGAGTAAGCCTGATGCCCCGTTTGGACTCCTCTGTTGACATCTACCCCTTGGCGTTCCTATGACCTTATGCAGTTGCGAGCGCCGTAAAACGTTACTAAAACTAAAAATAAAAAAGAAATTATATCATCAGAAGTCATCTTATACAACAGAGTCTACAGTACCTGCATTTGAGATCAATATATTTTGCAGTCGCTCCATGCGTCTTAAACACTAAAATCGTAACACAAAAAGTTTTTAAAAAACGTTTAAGAAAAGGACATGAAAACTGACAGAAAAAGAAGAAACAGTCCGTCTTCATACCTCGCAATTAAATGCGGTTGTCTGGCTGCAGCCAGGGTCTTGGCCAACAATTGCTTTTCTTGAGGGGAATTCTCCACCAGATATTTGTTCCAGATTTGATCCCAGTCCGCCTCGTCGCCCGAGTTAGCCATTCCGTATATGTACACTGCACTCCGGAGGTTAACCGATGGACTGGGGTGAACGAGTTCAAAGAAATGGTTGGGTGGGGAAGAATGAGGTGTGTGTGGTGTGTGTGCGTGTGTGTGTCCATGTGTGTATGTGCGTGTGCATGTGTGTGTGTCTGTGTTTGTCTCTGTGTGTGTGTGTGTGTGTGTGTGTGTGTGTGTGTGTGTGTGTGTGTGTGTGTGTGTAGTTGTTAAATCAAAATGTATATCTTGTATAGATGGCCATTATGTACAGGTGATTATCTTGTACAGGTGGCAGTTATGTACAGGTGATTGTCTTATACTGGAGGCTGTTATGTACAGGTGATTGTCTTATACAGGTGGCTGTTATGTACAGGTGATTGTCTTGTACAGGTGGCAGTTATGTACAGGTGATTGTCTAATACAGAAGGTCGTTATAAACAGGTGATTGTCTTAAACAGAAGGTCATTATGTACAGGTGATTGTCTTATACAGGTGTCTGTTATGTACAGGTGATTGTCTTATATACATGTGGCTGTTATGTACAGGTGATTGTCTTATATACATGTGGCTGTTATGTACAGGTGATTGTCTTATACATGTGGCTGTTATGTACAGGTGATTGTCTTATACATGTGGCTGTTATGTACAGGTGATTGTCTTATAGATCTACATGTGGCTGTTATATACAGGTGATTGTCTTATATACATGTGGCTGTTATATACAGGTGATTGTCTTATATACATGTGGCTGTTATGTAGGCCTACAGTTGTCACTTTGTTAGTGTTTGAGCGCTTAATTGGCTGCTTGCACTGTATGCTTCCCGGGAAGCTGAGAATGTTTCGGAGTGTTCTATGGTCTGCTGGGGTAATAATATAGTGTAAAGCGCATAGAGCCTGCTGTTGAGCGGAGATATGCGCTATACAAATGCTATCTATTATTATTATTATTATTATTATTACACATGATTGTTTAGTACAGGTGGTCATTATGTGCAGGTGATTGTCTTATACAGATGACTGTTATGTACAGGTGATTGTCTTGTACAGATGACTGTTATGTACAGGTGATTGTCTTGTACAGATGACTGTTATGTACAGGTGATTGTCTTGGACAGGTTGTCGTGGAAGCAGGTTCACCAGTACTCACGTGACTCCATTATCCAGCCAATCACGGAACTGTCCGGTGATGTTGCTCAGGGTATACGAGTCTCCCACCTGGCAGGCTACAGATATAACCAGGGATCGCAGCTGTCTGTGAAAGACGCATGACAAGTGTGTGTGTCAGTGTGTGTATTGTGTGTGTGTAAGTGTGTGTGTGTCAGTGAGTGTATGTGTGTGTGTGTGCGTGTGTGTGTGTCTGTGTGTGTGAGAGAGAGAGAGAGAGATTGTGTATACGAGAGTGTGTGTGTGTGTGTGTGTGTGTGTTTTTTGTCAGTGTGTGTGTGAGTGTGTGTGTGTCAGTGTGTGTGTGCATGTGTGTGTGTGTGTGTGTGAATGTGTGTGTGTGTGTGTGTGTGTGTATATGAGTGTGTGTGTGTGTGTGTCAGTGTGAACATTAGGATTAAAAGAAAAATTAATAATATTGCTTTATTTTAGTAAGTATTTTTTTTACTGCACTTGCAACACCATTATGTCATAAAAATACAGAAGATTAGAGGTGTTGCAAGAGAGTAACAAACGCAAAAAAGAAGGAGAAGAGATAAGAACAGTATATTATGTTTGATAAGAAAGAAGGCGCAAACTACACCAGAACACTCTCCAACCACCCAATAAAATGATCTAAGACAGCCACCCCTTGTCCGGGAGAAGGAGGTGGGGGTCACCTGGTGTCAGAAGTAAGAGTAGTCAGAAAATGGCTACCGATGTTTGGGGACTTCTAAAGCTTGAGAGTCCTTAGAAACTGCAAATTTTCCTTTTTTTGTGCCTTTGATCGACATTTTTCTAAGATAAAATCCACATACATAGAATTGTGTTTCTAAATAGACATAAAAAGTGTTGAGCCAAAGTTAAATTTAAAAAAAAGATAAAAATTGGCCAACTGACCGAAAAGTATTTATTTTTCGGTTTCATTACTTTGACCAGCGTCTGATTTCCCCACAATGCCACCCACACATAAAACAGACTTGTACGAGAAGACAGTTAAACCAAAAAAAACAACCTTTCAAGATGAGATCCGGTGTCTTGGAAGCCCACTCGCATCACAATGGGTCTGGTCCTGTCAGCGATGAAACTCTGCAAATGTTGAGAGAGATTCACTTAATCAGTAGTCAGGCCAAGACTGTATTTTTCTTTTAAAACTCACTTGAGCCTGAGCTATTTTTCACCCAACAACCATTGCAGCCTGACAGTTTCGGGGTATATTGAATCGTTAACCAAGAAAAGACTATAGAGAAAGCTTTCATAGTAAAAAAAAACCACAACAAAAGAAATAAAAAGATGGTCTCAAAGAAAAAGAAAACTGCATCTATTTTGTCCGAATAGTATTTGCTTTATCAATATTTTGAAATAGCAATGTCTGGGATGCACGCAATTTTTTTTTGCGCCCAATTTATAACAATATCATCTATAACTATAACAATGCATGGGTGACTGACTTAGTCTGTTACTGCTAAAAAAGTATTGCACATAACTTCACAAAATTTTTAAGGAAACGAAACAAATGGGTCAGCTGTTGGTTCACATTTCCCGTAGCTTGTAACACAAAAATACAGGAGATATCGATTAATAAAGCGCATACCACAACTACAGGGGGTTAAGCCACTGGGCCAATGGTGCGTCTCGTAAATACACGGAAATAGGCTCAAGTGAGTTAACCCTATCCGTACATCGTGTTTTACTATCGTATCCATACGACGAGGGGAACTCTGTACCACCACTTTCCAAAGAGGAAATTTACTCGTTAATCGGATCCGTACGCTTTGCATAGCAGTCGGTCAAAATGATTTTTTGAGGAATACTGAAAGTTTCACAGAGATCTTCGTACTAGAAGTATTTCAAAATGGGAAGGATACAACCCCAGGGGTACAAAATGACCCCTGGGCATATGGAAAGGGTTAAAATAGGTGTTTTCACATCTACATCGGCACTCTAGATCATTTAGGAAGCAGGCTCGGGACCCTGCCTGTCAAAGCCAATCTGGGCTGAGAGGGAAACAAGATATAAAAATAGAAAGAAAGAGATAACAGATAAAAATCCTCCCCATTGGGAATTGAACTCGGGTCTCCTGCGTGCAACAGCGAAGTGCCTAACCACTACACCACAGATGCATGACTGTGAGAGCAGCTGGTGCTATCTGATACATATTACGGTATAGATGGTGGTGGTCGGGGGGGGGGGGGGGAGATTCCACACCCAGGGTAATTCCACACACCCCACTTACAGCCCTTAGAACCAACAGAAATCTATTTGACATTCAGCTTTCATAATTTGCTTCTGTCTGCCATGTTTTATTTTTCAATTCAGCTTTAATTTCTTGTATGTCTGTATTTTTATTTTCCTTATGGCATGTGTGCTCATGTGGGCGTGGAATTGCCCCGCAATATTAAATGTTCAATTAAGTTGAAAAATGGAAGTATGGGGATGGTGATATCGTAGAATTCATATTATGTTTTGTTTCCTAACAGACCCAAAGTAAAACTGTTGTGGAGGATGTGTCCTCTTTCTACATAAAGTAGCTTCAATAACACTTGCCTCACAATCCAATTGAAAAGTATGGGTGTGGAATTCCCCCTTTTTATTTAAATGTTTAAATGTTATTCAATAAAGTGTATGTACACATATATTTATTGCTTTGTGAGTTTTGTGTTGGGATGAAGGTATTGTCAAGCGTCCAGAGCTGTATTTATGGGAGAGGATAATATGTGTGGCGTGCTGACAAAATGAGTTTCATTTCGCGATCTACAAATGGAGATATTGGCCAAAAATCGACATTAGGGTCAAATTTGTAGATTTTCTGTTGATGCCATATTCTTTAACTCTAACCTGTCTTTTATTATTTCATACTTATAAATTGTAAAAACTTCACCTGTAAGCATGATGCATCCATTTCCTTAGGGTTTGATCCGAGGAGTAATTCATTTTGTTAGCTCGCTTCACACATATATATAAATATATATATATATATAGGAATGATCTACATTATTATCATTATCATTATTCTGCCGTAAGCTGACAAAACGCTTTTTTTTTTCACAGCAGTTTTGAGAAAAAGAGTATTTCGTCAGCGTAACCATTGAAAAATAGAGTGATTTTGAAATTTGAATTCTAATTTACTAAAAAAAAAACTAGTCACCATTTAATTTTTTTTTTTTCCCAAACAAGTAGGGTAACTAATCCGGCTTTTGATTTAGAAAATATAAAATTTTGGTGCCGAAACAAAAAAAAGGTGTTTTGTCAACTTATGGCTGCATTATCCCTTACCTTCCAAAGTCCGTAGTCTGGGTCATCTCGGAGCATTCGCCGTATGTAGTTGACGCCTCCCTGCAGGGCGGCACTCCAGGGGACGACGTGTTCTTCCTTTGCCAGGTAGGACATCATGTCCAGGGGTATATCGTAGGACGTCATGCCGGCAGACGCCAGGGTGAAGGCATCGTTGAGGAGGCCAGCCCTGTCTGCAATGCCCAGGATCCATAGCTAGGGGGACAAAAGTGGTTGGGCTAAAAAATGGTATAAGTTTAACGCCCCTATCAACACTATTAGGTTATTTAAGGGGCGGGACCTCCTAGTTTAACGTCCGTCTCTGATAGGACCGAGCCAAGTGGGAAGTTTGTGTAAAGTGCCTTTACCAAGGACACAACGTCGGACCGAGCTGAGGCTCGAACCCCTGAACTCGCAATCTCACGATTACGAGTCCGGTAGCCTAACCACTAGACTACCGACGCCACTCAAAAGTGGTTGAGAGGTGGATAAGATAAGATAAACTTTATAGATCAACAAGAGAAATTTATTTCCTTTTGCTCCTTTGCTAGGGGACAAAAGTTGTTGAGGGGTTGATAAGATAAGATAAGACTTTATAGATCAATAAGAGAAATTTATTTCCTTTTGCTCCATTGGTAGGCAAAAAAAAATTGTTGAGAAGTGGATAAGACCAGATAAACTTTATAGATAAGCAAGAAAAATGTATTTCCTTTTGCTCCATTGGTAGGCAAAAAAAAAGCTGTATAGAGGTTGATAAGATAAGGTAAACTTATTAGATCACCAAGAGAAATTTATTTATTTCCTTTTGCTCCATTGCTAGGGGACAAAAGTTGTTGAGAGGTTGATAAGATAAGATAAGACTTTATAGATCAACAAGAGAAATGTATTTCCTTTTGCTCCATTGATAGGCAAAAAAAAATTGTTGAGTGGTTGAGAGGTTAGAAGTATTCTGTTTGTCTTTCCACTTCATATACCCGTTTTCTTATTACGATTCTCTTACATCTGTCTTTTTTATTTACATATTTTTTTCTGTCTTTCACTTCATTCTCCCTTTTTTCTGTCTTTATAGTCCAGGTTTTCGTCTGGCTTTTCATTTTGCTTTATTAACCCTATCCGTACGTCGTGTTTTACTATCATATCCACAGGACGTGGGGAACTCTGTGCCACCACTTTCCAAAGAGGAAATTTACTCATTAATCCAATCTGTACCCTTAGCATAGCAGTCTGTAACAATGATTTTTTAAGAAATACTGAAAGTTTCAAAGAGATCTTTGCACTAGAAGTGTTCTAAAATGTGAAGAATACAACCCCGGGGGTACAAAATGAAACACCGTGTACAGATAGGGTTAAATTGTGTTGTTTCTCAATACATTTCAGGGGTGGTCAACTGTGTGTTCTTCAAGTCAAGCAATGTCAGACAACATGATAAAGTCGGGAAGTAATGTATCGTCACTGAGCTGGCAAAATGGCACATCTAAGTTTAGCTACTTTTGAGACAAAGGGAAAACCTGTTAAACCAGACTATTTATCATCTTATAATGGTACAACTTGCCATATATGTTTCTTTTGTGACTGCCAGCACGTTTTTGTTGTGATTTTACCAAAAGATAGATATGGTAAAATAAAGAGTAAAGCTGTTCCCGCATCCAATCCGGACATTGGGGATTGCCTTGTTAGTGAGACAACTTCCTGGGCCTTCGGCATATTGTTGTGGTAGGGTGGCCAGTTTCTTTCCACGCCGCCTTTACTTCCCAAACTTGAAGTCAGGTACCCATTTCTGCTGGGTGGGCAGGAGGGGGCGAAAAAAATGCATGTCCGAACCGGGGCTTGAACCCGAACTTTCTGCTTCGGAGACGAGCGTATAGATATAATATCACAACAAAAAAAAAGAAGAAAAAGGCCAGTTGTATTTTGGCATAGCTCTGTGTCATCCCATTTTGCTAGCAGACTGGCGATATCCTGGATTTAAATGCTTATGATGAACTGTAAATTATCATAAATAGTATTATGTGCAAAAACACAGCAAGACCAGAAATTTGAGACATTATTTATTCATTCACCTGATTATCTGTAGTCAAGAGGTACTGGGAGAAAGCCTGCCACTGACTGTCTGGATAAAGTACGCGGTAGAATCCGGGCTGATCCACATTAAACTTGATCCAACTGCCAGGTGAACTTAGACCATAGTTCCCGCTGAATTTGACTGGGGAGAGAAAATCGACAACAGTACAGCTTAACACTTTCCACCCACGCAGAGCGCAGAGCCCACAACACTTGTCTCCGCGGACCAAGATGCAGATGCGGTACATCAGTACAATACTTGTGTCTCGGCAAAAATAAACAAACCATTATAAGATTTTCAGCATAGCCTGTTGAGAAAATTGAACTTGATACTTGCGTGTTCATCAAAAAAGGAATTAGAATTGGAACAGAACACATTAGATCTGGCACATTCATCACTCAAATTCTCATCATTACATAAGTGTAAAGCAGCACTCATGCCAGGTCTACTTGAAATTTTTCCAAAAAAATCCTAACTCCAATTGTTGTAAACAAACTGATTTTCGACAAAAAAAGTCACGCAAACTATTCAGAAAGGAAATAATAACTTTAACACGTGCGTATGTCAAAAAGGAGATCATCGCTACAACTACAACATTTTTGTTGCTCACACCATCGCCGATCGACATCCCATGGGGGCAAAGTGTTAGACCACTCAACTACTTTGTGCATATCACCGAGCACCATGATTCACTCAATAAACATTATCTGGAACTGGAAGCAAGAAAAAAAGCAAGAGAAGATGGGAGAGACCTTAGAGAAGGTGGGAACAGGACAAAAAATTCTGGCTTGTGGAACCAAAACAACTTGGGCAGGCAGAATGGTAAGAGATAGAGTGTTCTGTTGCAGAAAGGTCTGAGAAGCAATGTTTAACCACTATAGGAAAGGTAAAAAGTAAAAAGTAACTGTGTGTGTGGATGTGTGTGTGTGTGTGTGTTTGTGTGTGTGTGTGCATACATGTATATATGTGCGTGTGTGTGTGTGTGTGTGTGTGTTTGTGTGTGTACATACGTGCATATATGTGTGAGTGTGTGTGTGTGTGTGCATATGTGTATATATATGTGTGTGTGTGTGTTTGGGTGTGTGTGTGTGTGTGTGTGTGCGTGTGTATGTGTGTGTGTGTGTGTGTGTATGCACGTACATGTGTAAATAAAGATACATACTATCTCTCTCTCTTTCTCTCTCTCTCTCTCTCTCTCTCTCAGAGATGCAATGACCAATCAAAGGGCAAGAACTCACTGTCTGTCATGTCCATGACCTTGCTGCCGTTCTCACCCTGCGATGTCTGGAAGCTCAGCGGCACGTACCATTTGTACCTGGTGCAACATCAAACACAGCTTAGTTCAATTTTACTTCGAGGTTTTATTGAGGTTTTACGTCATTTGCAACACAATATGTCTGTATGTGGGTGGTTGGCGGGTGCTTAGGTGTGGTTTGCTCCTCCTTTCCTATCAAACATCTATCGTCCTTATCTCCCCTCCTTCTTTTTTGTGTTTCTTACTCTCTTGTAACACCTCTAATTTTCGGCACTTATATGACCTTTTAAAATTTTTTTTTTCATACAAGGCACCTGCATCTGTCAGTTGGGAAGTAGTTCGATCCCCACTAAGCTTGGCTCGACTTGCGGGCTGGACTGAAACTGCTCATAGTCTGATTTTTTATCGTGGACTTCGAATGAAACTGTACGTAGGCTATATGTGAGGCAGCGTAGTGAAATCAGGCGCTCCTCAAAATAATCAAAGTGAAGAAACTGTCATATTTCCACAGGTTTGAGAAATTTTATCGAATTTTTGTTCTTTGGCTCAACACCTGTCATGTCCATAAAAGAACTCATTCGTGTGTGGATTTTAATGCAAAAAGTTGATTTATGGCACAAAAAATGTAAATTTTCAGTTTCCAAGGACTCTCAAGCTGAAGAAATAACTAATCTTTGGCGGCAATTTTCTCACTAATTTTACCTCTGAAACCAGGTAACCCCCACCTTTTTCATTCTCAAATATTTCAACTTCTGTTTAGGATAAATGGATATCTTTTTTCATCCAAAACAAGACAAATGAACAAGCTTTCAGATGATGCCAATAACTCTACATGCCCAAAACTTGACCTGGTGCTCATATGACCTTATGCAGTTGCGAGCGCCATAAAACCTCTACTACTAAAACAAACAAAAAATTGAAGAGCGCCTGATTCCACTGTGTCGTGACACATGTTTCACTCACAGGTTGTAGTCTGCCCATGCCTGTTCTAAGACTTACCTTAAAGTAGAGGCTGATGGATCCAGTTCCGCTTCAGGGTTGAGAAGAAATCTCTTCTGCGTGGCTTCCACCGTAGTGGTCCCGTCTGAGGTCGTAGACAGTGTTATGTTAATGTACGGGTAGCCATCTTGGATCGTCCAGGTGTCCATTATGTGCTTGACATCATACGTAGGGTCCACCTGACAAAAACACGACAAAGGCTTTGAGACATAATATACTCATATATTTTTTAAAGAGGGCTGTACCACACACTAGATATAATTGAGAAAGGAGCCTCATCAGCTTCATGTGTAGCATCTGTCCCGCTTTGAGCTCAGCACAGGGCTGAAATATTGGGAACAGATTCAACACTTAGATCTTACTTAGCTAAAAGGCTGAGAAACCTTGAGACAGAACATATCACATTTAAAAAAAAGAAAAACATTAAAAGCTGCTCATTACTTAATCTACTATTTGTATATTGTTAAAGAAAAAAATTACCCTGCTGAACTGATACAGTAAAAATCATTGGTTGGACTGTACTTCATGACAAAATTCTTTCCACCTATTCCACAAACATAATGATAAAAAGTATGTACGCATGGGTAACAGGGAAGGATCAGGGAAATGTAGCTTTTCTGAGAGCATCCAAGCAAAGGAATGAATGGAAAACCATGATCGCTGATGTCTGTCGCAGATCTGGCACTGGATGATGATGATGATGTACGCATAATATATGCTTACCCTTACAGACCAACAGTTATACATATATATGATGCATATATGAAGAATTATTAACAATAATAGAATTTAAGCTAAGTGCATAATCAGTACTCTGATATTGTTCCGATACCATTCTGACAGTACATGTTCGTTTTACTTCATGAAGGGTGAAAGATCTGAAAGATTGAGCTACCGTAGCGATCTTTAGAGAAAAAATGGAACATTTTGTTTAGAACCTCTTCACATATCATCAGGTATCATTAAGGTGGTCACTTGGCTAAAGGTGACCAGGGCAGGCTAGATACTCTGATTCATGCAATACTTTGTCATGTTTTCATTTATGTCTCTTTACTTCTCGATCCGATCCGTACGGTTTGCATAGCAGTCTGTCAAAATAATTTTTTGAGAAATACCGAAAGTTTCAAAGAGATCTTTGTACTAGAAGTATTCTAAAATGTGAAGAATACAACCCCGGGGGTACAAAATGATCCCAGGGCGTACGGATAGGGTTAATAGCAGCACATGCTACTTTAGAGTGATCTATTTTGAGAATGGAGGACTGATTGAAAGCATAGAAAGATATCTCCGTTAGTTATATCTTTGTCTTTACCTCTTTTTGCCATATGTCTTTATTCATCCTGCCACATTCTTCTTTGCCCAAGTTTTTTAAAATTATTACAGCAGTAACCATTTGTATTCAGAAAATTTCTGAAGACTCCTTTGACAATTCTTTTTAACTATAAGGCTTATGATTAATATAAATCTCCAGTCTGTGTAAACTGCAAAACTTGTCACCTCAAAAATTCATGATTCCAACAAACAAAGTTAAGAAGGGAGAATATACAACTCTCTCCCCCCAATGACCCCTGACCTCTGAAAGGGCTCCCCAAAGGTCATCGGTGCGTGCGTTGCCCCATTTATGGCGCTGCAGGTACAGGCCCACACCCTCGAAAAACTTGGCCTCTCCCATGATGCTCTTTAACATCCGTATCACTGATGCACCCTGGGAAAATAATATATACATGTGTATATATATATATATATATATATATCCTCACCATCATAATCATTTGCGACATGTAATGGTGGAATCAGGTGCTCCTCAATTTTTGGATAGATAGATGGAGATAGAGACAGAAAAACTTGCAGAAAAACAGATATAAAGAAAGACAAATGGACAGATATAGGGTACATAGGTAGATGGAGATACAGACAGAAGACAGACAGACAAGCAGAAAAACAGAAAGATTCATAGATAAATGTATCGACATAAGGTACACAGATAGACGAATGGATAGACTCGTAGGCAGACAGACAGAAAATTAGACAAGATACATAAATGGAAAGGTATGGGGTATATAGATGGACTAATAGATAGATAGATGGAGATACAAATAGATGGACAAACAAACAGATAGCTTGACAGAAATGCAGATAGAAAGATAGATAAATGGAAAGACATAAGGGACATAGATGGACTAATAAAGAGATAGAGAGACAAACAGACAGACAGACATACAGACAGACAGACACAAACACACAGACAGACATACACACAGACACACAGACAGACAGACAGACAGACAGACAGACAGACACACAGACAGACAGACAGGTCAAGACAAACAGGGTCAGACAGTGAGACAGATTACAACACAACAACGAAGCGAAGATTCTCCACCTTCGAGTAAGAAATGGCATCAAACACAGAGGTGATCTGTGCTGGATCTTGCACGTCAACGATGATTGGGTGAGACGAGAGGGCCGAGTCTTGGGGCATGACGGAGAAAAAATCCTGTGGCAGGAACTTGTCCATCTGGTGTTGTCGTTGGTGTTGTCGTTGGTGTTGTTGTTGTTGTTGGAGAGAGCCAAAAAAATCGTTTGAGTTTTGTTTTAGTAAGTATTTTCGGGCACTTGCAACACAGTAAGGTCATAGAAGTACCAAAGATTAGAGGTGTTACAAGAGAGTAACAAACACAAAAAAGAAAGTGGGGAGATAAAGACGATAGATTTTTTTAGCAGAAAGAAGAAGCAAACCACATCAGAGCACCCGCCAACCGCCAACCACCAACCGTTTGAGTTCGAGAAATGTTTAGTTTTAGTTACAAGTTTTTTGTTTTAGTTTTAGTAAGAGTTTTACGGCGCTTGCAGCTACATAAGGTCATATGAGTGTGAGAAACACAAGTTGGTTGCATTTTAAAAAGTTCACAGAAAAGTTCACAGTACATACAGCTTGATTTCGTTTAACGGTCAAGTATGAGTTTTATCGCACTTGTTACACAATTAGGCCGTATAAGCGCTGAAGATTGCGATGTGCTAAAAGAGAGTAACATAAATACAAAAAAAGAAGGAGGAGAGATTTTAAGGACGATACATATTTGATAGGAAAGAAGGAGCAAACCACACCAGAGCACAAGCCAACTACCCACTGAGTTTGAATAAAGACAGGCACATCAATACAATAACGATCATATAGTGCAGGGAAGAAGCAAGACCGATAGACAGAAACAATAGAAGGAGCGAAAAGAAGAAGGACCTTCCAGTGGCACCCTACAACCACCCGCAGGCCCCCAAGGAATCAGTAGTAAAATATAACGAAAGTATCTTTATCAAGTCAAGCAAACTATGTTTTTTGACGTTTTATGTTCAACATAAGCAGGGATGTAATTATTATAGTTGTAATTGTCAAATTGTAAAAAAGTTCTCAACAGAATCGTTGACTTTATAAAGGCAATATAAGCCTTTAAGGAAAATTATGAAAAACTTGAAAATGTTAAAAGTTATTTAAAAAGTTATTTTAAATTAAGAATTTATTTACCTCAAATTTTTTACATTTTAACATTTTAATAGAAATATTGACCAAAATCAGGCAGTGCAGAGAACTGTTGTGAAAAAAAACAACTTGTTTCGCAAGCTCATATGACCTTATGCAGTTGGGAGCACCATAAAACTCTTACTAAAACCCCCCCCCCAAAAACCCAAAACAAACCTTTTTGGGGATTCAAACCTGGGCCACCCACACCCCAGCCCAGCATGATACCAACTGACAAACAGAAGATACCTAGCAGCCAGAGAAAGGCTGGAATATACAAACAAAGGCAATAAAAGCAATTTTGAGAAGCAAAGATTCAATCAGACAGTTCAAGAAGATTTTTTTAAAAAGCAGCAGTTTCAATTGCGAAATAAAAAGCATAATGCATATTTTGAAGCTGGATTTTCGGATACTAATGTGTGTGTATGTATATGCATCTTTCTCTCTCACTTTCTCTCTCCCTTTCTCTTTGTCTCTCTCTCACCTTCTCTCTGTCTCTCTCTGGCTCTTTCTGTCTCCCCCACCCCCCCTGTCTTTCTCTCATCCTTTCTCATTTCTCCTCCTCCCTCTTTATCTCCCTCTTCTCCCCATCATCGTCAACCTCTCTCTCTCCACCTCGAAGGCCTCCCCTCCCCCCAGCTGTTTTCCACCCACCAGCCCCCACTCTGTCTCCTTGGTGGCTGCTCCAATGTACTCCATGTACGAGGCGAAGCCTTCGTTGAGCCAGAGGTCGTTCCACCAGGCCATGGTGACCAAATTGCCGAACCACATGTGCGCCATCTCATGCGCAACCACATGAGCCACGTCTTCAGCGTCATCCAGAGACGCCTGGAGAGGGTCGTACAACATCCGGGTCTCGCGGAACGCAATCAGACCCCAGTGCTCCATGGCGCCAGACACAAACTCGGGGATTGCGATCAGATCTGACGATGAGGAAAAATGAAGAAAGTTTAGTTTAGTTTTAGTGAAAGAGTTTTACGGCACTTGCTGCAACACAATAGGGTCATACAAGTGCCGAAGATTAGAGGTGTTTACAAGAGAGTAACAAACACAAAAAAGAAGGAGGAGAGACCAGGATGAAAGACATTTGATAAGTAAGAAGGAGCAAAGCACACCAGGGCACCTGTCACCCACCTACAAAAATGAAGAAATGATTGACATAGATACACACGATTTACTATAAAAAAGGTCAAAGATCTGACAGAATGGAAAATTGAAGAAACTAGTTGACAAAGTTATGCAGGTTTTACCACAAGTAAAATGAGAAATCTGATATGTAAAATGATGAAACTATTGAGGTAGATACGCACTTTTTAATACAAGGGGGGTGGGTGGTGGAGATCTGATATAAAACGATGCAGAAACAACTGATGTGGACATGAGCGTTTTTATTTAAGATAAAATAAAATAAGATAAGAGAGATAAGATAAAATAAGATAGATCTTTATTTCCAAGAGGCTGGCACATTGTTTCACCACACACTCTAACCGCTCCGCTACCGCACCCTCAACAAAAATAAAGGCAGAGAAAATTCTCTCCGATCTACGAGTGTCCAGTGGTCAGTCTGACCTTGTTTGGGCAGAGGGTAGGTCTGGTTGTACAGTCTCTCGTACGTGTCCAGCGTGTGCTTGGCCATATCCAGGGCAAACTGCGCCTGCTGGATCTTGTCTGGGGTGGCAAATACCCGGATCTGGGAGGAGTGGGGTGGGTGGGGAGAGGAGGGAGATGAGGGTGGGGT